GCCCTCCCTCCGTGGTCTGATCAGATATGCATTTCTTCCCCTACTTCTTTTCCAAAGAATAGTTGGCATCAGAAGGAACCCTGAAGGCCAAGAGCAGGCTCCAGCTTCCAGGCAAAACAAAATGAAACCAGCTGTGGGCAGCACCTGTGGATCGCTCGTCCAGCCTGAGTGGGAAGTGTGACACCCGAGGCCCCATGCAGGCAAACCCTCCTAGGAACCAGGAAAGACTCCGACTTCTTGCCTGGACTTAGAGTTTTAGTGAGGAGGAGCCCTTCTGGCTTTCCTGTTGTCCAAATGGGAATTTCTGCCACTTATCTAAAAGGGAGTCAAAGTCCTAGGAACAGTTACAACTTTTCTTACCAGCCTGCCATTTCCAAACTGACTGGATGACGAGACCTATTTATTGAGCAGTGATATCTGGCCCCCAAAGTTCTCTCTGTGCCTGCAGCCCCTGAGCCAGGGCTGCATGCCAGTGGGTGTGGGTGGGAATGAAGACTGCCTTCCAGCTGAAACATTCTCATGCCCTCTAAGATGACAGAAAATTCACTTCCATTTTCTCCTTAATATTTTTTGAAGTCATCACAAAACTAACAGAAATATTACCTTCTCTTTCCCAGGGTTTGTGCCCCTGTCCCTTAGGCCCAAGGACTGAACAAAGGTAGCTGCCAGCTTGGGCTGTAGGTAGCGTGACTGGGAGAGCTAGATCTAGTCACAGGCTCACCACACTCCTCCTGTGACCTCCAGTGAGGGCTCTTTCTTCATTGGGTCCACCAGACCAAGGACTGACTTGATCCCTTATTTCCAAACTCCTTGCCATGAACTCCTGCATGCGTCTATGACCTGACCTGAGCTGTGCTCACAGCTCCATATGCTATTCACATTCCACAGATCCCCAGCTCTCTCAGTCCCACCCAGTTCATCCTGTTCCTTTGCTTTTATGTTTCTATTTCTGCCCCCCTTGGCCAAGTCTTCCCCTATGCTTGCTTTCGATGGTCCTATCCATTCCTTAAGCATCACCTTATTAATTTTTTGTAGAGACAGCGTCTCACCATGTTGTTCAGGTTGGCCTCAAACTCCAGACTTCAAGCGACTCTCCCACCTCAGCTTCTCAAAGCATTGGGATTATAAGTGTGAGCCTCCATGCCTGGCTGTAAGCCTCACTTTAAATTCCATTCTCCAAGAATTCTTACAGAGTCCCCCAGTTGGCATTAACTTCACCCTCTCCTGCCGTCCTGAGACTTGGTGCCTCCATTGCAGTAGAGACCCCTGGCTGCCTTATTACAGTGGAATGTCTGTCTGTCTGTCTGTCTCCTTTCTAGTTTGTGATCTTCTGGAAGGCTAGTCTCTCTGGCCCCCTGAGCACATGGCACCATGTTTTGTACAAAAGTTCCTTTCTGATTGGAATTCATTGTGGGTTACAGACTACATGGAGATGTGTGCTAGGGGGTTAGATCACATTCCCCCAAATGTGATCCACTGGAGCTATTTAAAATCCCACAGTTGTGTGGAATCGGATGGACGGAATGTAAAAGTCAAGCCCCTTTAACTTCAGGCAACACCAGTGCTAATGACGGTGACAACCCTGCAATTCGTATGCAATCTACAGTTGCTAAAGCATTGGCACATTAATTATTTAGGCCTCCTTGGGGAGAGATTTAATTATTCTCTTCAGCTCCCATGGCTTTTAAGAGCCTTAAATGGCCTTCCTGGGAAAAACTGACCACCCCAGCAGCCGCCGAGCACAGGTGCAGCCTGTAGCCCTTGAGGCCACTTGGCAGAACAGGGTTCTCTCCAGGCTTTGGGACCTGGCTGTCCGGATCAAAAGATCTACCCAAACAAAAGCCAGGAATGGATCATCTTCATGGACAGATCTTGCCTGTGGGCTCAGAGTAGGAGTCAAAGGGTACGGTCTCTCATTTAGGAAGGAACGGAGGAGGGCAGGGGGCAGTGTGTCAGGACCCCATCCCCAGTTCAAGGAACCTGGCCAGAGGGTGGGCACTGAAGAGGTTGGGGTGGGTACTGGACTGAGCAGGGAAGGCCATGGGAAAACTCTGTGGCTGCGGCTGGAGAAAGTGCCCTGGTTTGGTTGACACTAGCAGCACGCAGTCCTTCCTGCCTCCAGGAAAAAGGCTACAACTTGGCTCCTTCCCCTGCTTGGAGGATGGAGGCTGAGGGGTGATGGGAATATTCTGAGCAGGAGAAGAAGAACATGTCATAGGGGGGCAGGGCTGAGAGACCTTGGGAGAAGGCCAGGGCTTGGGAGACTTGGGTGAGAAATAGGGTCAAGGCCAGAGGTGTGAGGAGCTCTACAGTAGCTGGAGCTGGAGGTGGAGAGGACTTTGTGGGGTAAACATCCAGGGGAGTCCAGGCAGGACGTGGAAGAGCTCTGTGAGGCCTGGAAGCCTGAAGGTGGGCGGTGGGAGGGCCAGGTGAGGGGCCAAGGCAGATGGGAGCAGACAGAGGGCCAGGCACTTAGGGGCAGGGTGGCCCTGCCATCCTTTTGTGAGGTGGTTGCCTCCACCAGAGGGTAGAACTTATTACCAGGGAGGGGGCGTCCTGAGGTGCCTTGGTCCTCAGGGCCAAAAGAGGAAGAGACTTGAGTGTAGGCCCAGAAATTGAGCTGAATCCAATATCTGGGGTAGGGGTGAGGCTGGGTGGGTCTCATTCCTCCCCCTGTGCTCATAGCCCTCCATGTCTTCATGTGGAGGAACTGTGTTCTGTCTACAGTGTTATTTATTTAGAGGTGCTGCTGCTTTTCCATTGGAGGGTGGGCTCTTGGAAGATAAAGTGGTTCTTGGCTGGAGAGACTGAAGAAGCCAGGACAGATAGTTGGGGCCAGACGCAAGAGCCAAGTTCAGCACCTCGGAGAGCTCTGAGCACCCTGGGGTCAGGGCAGAATGCCAGGGGAGCGCTATAGAGGTAAAGGGTGCCCTGGAGCAGCTGACTGTGTCCACCACCAAGTGAGGCTGGGGCACTGACGTCCTCCTTCAGAGGCAGACTCAGACCCCGAGTTCTGGGAACCTCAGATGGCGTGTGTCTGTTTTGCCCCTTTATTCGTTAAATTGCTGTTTTCTGTGTGCTGGGCACTGGCGGCCGCATGGTGGTGGTGCTGAGGTCACATGGAAATTGACACGTGTGCAGAGCTGGGGGAGCTCACAGTTTAACAGGAGATACACTTGCAGAGCGTGTGTGTGCCTGGAGTGACCTGCAAGAGGAATCTGACCTGGGCGAGTGATGGGTGGAGGTGGTGCTGAGGAGGGGCAGCTGGTTCGGCCTGACGGAGCTGAGGAGGCCATCCACAGCTAAGGCAATGGTCAAGGAAGACTCAAAAGGTGAGTAGGAGTGACCCAGCTGGCTGCAGGGGTGAGATGTGAACGCACAGGCTGAGGTATGAGAGGGCCTTGTTAGGGACTGAAGGCCACCAGTGTGGCTGGCATGTGCTGCGTGCATGCATGGCTGTGAGTGTGTGCACACACGTGTTTCTACATATGTGCTCGAGCATGTGGTGGGTACAAAGGTGTGGGTGTGAACATATGGTTTGTGCAAGCATGTGGAAGGGCGTGTGCATGCACCCCTGTGTATGTGCCCATGTATATGTATGTGTGCGTGAGCATGTGTGGATGTGTGCATGCACCCCTGTGTATGTACCTGTGTAGGGGTGTGTGTGTGAGCATGTGGTATGGGTGTGTATGCACCCCTGTGTGGTGCCCATGTAGGGGTGTGTGTGTGTGTGTGTGTGTACACACTCCTGTGTATGTGCCCACGTATGTGTGTGAGCATGTGGCATGAGGGTATGTGCCCCTATGTGTGCATATATGTATGTGAGCATGTGGTGTGGGGGGTGCTTATGCACCCCTGTGAATGTGCCCGTGCCCGTGCCTGTGTGTGTGTGTATCTGAGAGGGAGAGCATGTGGTGTGGGGATGTGTATGCACCCGTGAATGTGCCCCAGTAGGGATGTGTGTGTGTTAGCATGTGGCATGGGTGTGTGTATGGGCCTTTATGTGTGCATATGTGTATGTGAGCATGTGGTGTGTATGCATCCCTGTGAAGGTGCCTGTGTGTGTGTGTGTGTGTGAGAGAGAGAGAGGGAGACCATGTGGTGTGGGGTGTGTACGTTCCTGTGGTGTATGTACATACCAGCATGTGGTGTGGGCATGGGCATGCACCGCTGTGTATGTGCCTCTGTGTGTGTGTGTGTGTGTGTGTGAGCATGGGTGTGTGTGTGATCTTGTGTGCACAGTGCATGTGGTGTGTCTGTGCCTGTGTGTGGGAGACAGCATGTGGCATGGGTGTGTGTCTGAGTCCTTGTGTGTGTGTGTGTGTGTGTGTGAGCACAAGACCTGTGCATGTGAGAAGCAGAGGGAAAAACTGCTGATTAAGAGAGATCTGTATATGACGGTGAACCAAGCAAACCAACCCCTCATCTTTTTCCGACAGGAGGCTGGGGACCCCTGGTGGATTTCACAAGGGAGGCTGGGAGCATCAGGTTTCTCCGACACTGAGAAGATTGCTGGAAAGCAGTTGCTAGTGGCCTGAACCTGCACGCATGGGTCCACCTCCCATGCTCCCCTGGCCTGGGGTTCTTTCTTACACTGTCATGAGCTCCCTTTTTCTGGGCTGCCCCTGCCATTCCAGCCCATTCTGATCCCTCCTCTGAATTTCCCAGGCCATAGGCAAGCACCCAAAGCATATCATCAGGTGCCCACAAGGCACAGGGCACTGGGCCGATGCCCAGAGTTGGAGGAGGGTGAAAGGTGCAGAGGAGAGGGGCAAGAGGTGAGCAAGACAGCTCCCATCCAGGGCAAGCACGAAGCTCAGTGTGGACACAGGAACCCACAGCAAGGAGCTGGACGAGGGAGCTGCAGGGACAGTCAGCTGTGGTGCTAGAGGCCTTCTGAGGGAAGAGGGGTGGGTGGCCAGGGTCGGGGGCTGGAAGTGGGGCCAGGAAGAGCAGGGCTGTGGGGTGACTGCTGGTTGTCTCTGGTGGAGAACCAGACATGTAGGAGGTGGGTGTGTCACTTTGAATTGACTAACTCAGCACTTCAGTGTACATTTACAGGCCTCCTTTATGCCAGGCCTGGGCCATGAAGAGGAAGCCACTGTCTGTGCCAAGGAGCTCACAGTCTGGTGGGGAAGTAGCCACTGGAGCGGACAGAGGTGAGTTTGGCTGCTCAGCATTGGAACCCCTTCCTACTGGGGAGAATGGGGGGATCTGGGCCCCTGTCACTGTGGGAGCCAGGGGGAGGTAGCTCCCTGGTAGTTGGCATAGGGCCATGAGGCCTGGGCTCCACTGGGTGGGTTCTGCGGCCCTGCACTTTGAAGTTCCAGGAAGGAGTGCAAGGACAGTGGCGACCGTGGTGGCTGTGTTGAACATGCAAAGCTGTGCTCCTTCAGGGCCGGGGCAGGCTCTGCCATAGTGGCATTTATTATAGGCCTGACATATCCACACATCTGTCCCAGTCAGGGCCTGGGATGCCAGCCACAGGACCCAGCTCTGACAGCGAAGCAGAAAGGTATTTATTGGAGGCTGGGGAACGAGGCTGGGAATTGGGGCAGGAATGGAGGCAGTGCAGCTGGATCCATCACAGAGACAGTTCCCCTGGAGTCCTATACGGGCACAGTCTCCCCTGGGGGTCTGTTGCCCTCCATTCCGAGCCAGCAGGCCCTGGGTTCCAGGAGTGGCGGCTCTGCCCCTACCATGAGATCATCTACTCCCTTTCCATTCAGAGGCCCTGGCTGACTGGCCTCTACTGAGGGTCCTGGGGAATTGGGTGAACAGCTGCTGTTGGGTGTGGGGAGGGTCTGGCTGGAAGTGGCCGAGAGAGCAGCCCAGGGCTTCTGCATCCGAAGCTACAGACCCACAAGAGTGGTATGCTTTGGAAATAGAAGAGCCACAGGGACCCGGATGAGGACATGGTATTCTTCCATACAGATGAGAAGCCCGACAGCCACAGACACAAACCCAGAGCCTAAATTCTCATGTGCTGTGTCCCATGAAACCTCGCTTCGTTATGTTCTTCCTGGAGATCTAATCTTTCCAAGATCTGGCCAGCTACGGCTTTGGGAAAGTCAGCCCCTGTGCCAGGTGATGGACTCAGAGAAGGAGTGGAAAGAGATGCGGGGAAACCGGGGATGGGGGCAGGCAGGAGAGCCACAGGGAGAGGGAAAAACACAGGTCTCCCCCTCTTGCTTCAGTAAAAGCCATTATTTCCCAAGAATTCTGAGAGCCACAGTCCCAGCAAATAAATCAATAGTTTCAAAGGATTTGCAAGAATTAGTGAACCAGAGCCAGGAGTACAATCAGTTTAGTTATCCAGGTAGAGAAGGAAATGAAATGGAAACCTCAGATGCCAGGAGCTAATGACAGCTAAGAACACAGCGAATCCATCCAGGGAGGAGTCACAGCTGGGAGGATGTGGGGTTGCGGTGTGGGGGGAGAGGGAGAGGGAGAGAGTGTGTGTGTGTGCGTGCGTGTGCAGAGACCCCTCTCTGCCCACCCTGTGCCCTTCATGGTCTTCCAGGAGCATCTGCCCCTGGTTCTCTGTCTGTGCCCACCCCTCCTGCCCATCCTGGCCCAGGTCAGTTTAGGGAAACACACCTGCCTCCTGCGATTTCAGGGAAGGTAAAAGCCCAAGGCTCATTTCTAGTTTCTCATATTTCTAACGACCTTTTAAGATTATACAAGTAATCTCCACATCATTATAGTATTAGGAAATCATAATAGGCATGAAAGAAGTAAGTGGAACTGTGCTCTCCAGGTGATGAGCCCCCGCCGCAGGCCCTGGCACAGAGTCAGGGGGTCAGGTCTGCCTTAGAAGGCCCTGGGGGGTGGGGGAGGCCATGTGATGGTGGGGAGCCAGCCCCTCCTCCTGCCAGGGGTGCCTCTGTGCAGCAGGCCTGGTGCCCAGCACACACCCCTGCCCATCACACCAGTTGGCGAGTCCACGTCCTCCCTCTGTTCCTCTTTCCAGGCCAGGAGAGGGCCAGACACTGGGGCTTGCAGGCTTTTCTCTGGTAGGCGCTGCCCAGTGAAGAATGCTGGATTTCTGGAAATGCCTAAAGCACTTCAGTGCAATTGCTGCCAGGGCCTGATCTCATGAGGTCTCAGAAAGGACCAACAGGTGGGCTATACAAACACCTTTCCTCCCATTCCCCAGGCTGCGCCTGGTCCCCCAAGTTCCAGGCTAATTCCTCTTCCTGGATGTGTGATTTGTGCCTGCTGAATCCAGTCTTCCAGTTATCCTGGGAGCTCAGGTAGATGGAGCCACTGCCTTTCCCTCCTCTCATATTCTCAGAGCCCTGTGCAGCCTCTGGCACACACTGGGCTCCATGTGATGGTGGACATGATGGAGACCCCAGATGCAGGCAAGAGAGGCGTGACTGGGCACATAGCCTGTGCTCCTTCTCTTCTAGCTCAATTCACCCAGCACGGGACCTTTCACATGTCCCTTCCATTTCTGCTGTGCTTCTGGCTTTCCTGAAACCCCTCTCTGCCTGGGACCCTCCCCACACGTATTTAACTTGTCAGCCTGTTTTTCTTGGGAGGCAGAACCTACCAGATTCCATGATAAAACCACAACCCTGTTTACAAACATTGGACACAGTTACCCAAGAGCTATACTGTCCTGCACAAGCGGGGCCAGGCCTGTGTACTCGGCTATAGCCCTGGATTCTGGGGGCCTCAGCTCCAAATGAGCTGGGCGTTGGCCACTGTGCTCAGAGGCTGACCGGGGGTGGCAGGGCAGCCACATGGTGGGGGACCATCCCCTACGTGAACACAAATGCCAGGAAAGACCAGTCTCCCCCACAGGCTGTGTCCAGCATGGGCCATGGGTGCTGCTCAAAGGGCACCCAGCACTCAGGGAGCCCCCGCTATTCACTGGGCCCTGTGTGGGAGGCAGAAGTGATGTGGCAGACTGGCTGTCTGCCCTCACGGAGCCTTCTCTGCATGTACAGTTATCTACTCTGCGGGGCAGGCCTGTGTGGAAGGGCAACAGAGGCTGTGTGGGGGCCTGGAAGAGGAGGGTGGTGCTAGGCTACTCCCTCTACTGGGAAATTCTTCTTCCTCGTTCAGAGAATGTCTACCCATTCTGTAAGATCAGCTGCCACCCTGCGGTCCCACCACACTTGGCTCAGCACTGTGCTGGGTCTGCTGCTTCTCTCTGGACCAGGGTGGCTCAAGGACAGGGACCCCCAGCACTAAGCATCCAGCAGGGGCAGAGAGGTGTCCAATGGCCGAGTGAATGACCCTGGCCGAGAGGAAAGTGAAAGGCCTTCCTGGCCTGGGGCACTGAGGTGCTTCGGCCTGGCCTTGTGAGGTCCTCAGCAGCTGAGTCTGCTGGTTCTGCACAGGACCAGGTCCTCCTAGACTCCATAGCCCCTGGCACAGGCCCAGGGATGAGGAAGGCGCTGCTCAGCCTGACATGAGAGTCGTCCCTGCCTAGCATGGCCATGGCCTTCCTGCCCAGCTCAGCCTCGGTGATGAACAATGATGCCCCTGCTGTGCCACTTCTGGGCTCTCTAGGGTCCCACACTCTGCTGCAGAGGCCCAGGCTGGCTGCCTGTTGGGGTGGGCGCTACCTCCGGAGGGTGGAGGGTGGAGGTGAAGGGAAGGGACTGAGACTGAGGGTGGCCCTGTGGGGCCTTGCTGGAGTGGCGGTGGAGACCACGCACATCTGAGCATCTGGGTGAGTGGGGGCTGCAGACAAGCCTGGGGCAGGCTGGGAGAAGGCTTTCCCCAGCCTGGCTGGCCTGGGGGATTGGGAAGGTCTGCAAACCAAGCTCTGGGGCTCCCTGAGGTTCCAGGAAGAACCCTGCCTGTCCCAGTAAAGGTGGATCCAGGATAGAATTGGGCTTGTCCACCTCAGCTGCCACCAGAAGCTGCCCCCTCAGCTCCTATCTGTTCCCCTCTGCCCCACTGGAGCTTCTGAAGCCACTTCCCTCCTTCTGGGACATCTGCAGGCCAAGGTATGTTGTTCTCTGTCTCCCATTAGCAAGGCCTGCAGTGTTGCTCTGAGCAGCATCCTCCAATATGGTGCCCCTGCTCCACAGGGGTGGACAGGTAGGTGCCGGGGCGGGGGCGGTCACAGACTTGATCAACACTGTGAAAAGCTCTCACTCTCAGGAAAGCTCTCAAAAGCAGAGCCTGCAGCAGATCGGTCTCTGCACCCCAGTGCCTGGTATAGCTTCTGGCCTCAAGCAGGTTTCAGGTAAGGCTTGAATGAGTGATGGAGGGAGACAGGTGCTGGCTTGCAGAAGGTGCTGTGGGATAGAAGGCACTGAGCTGGGTCTTGAATGGACAGGGTGAGCCATCAGCCATGGAGGAAGGGCCGTTCACAAGCAGAGACTTGAGGTAGGGAAGCACAGAGTGACCAGGGACACTACAGCTGGGGCAGTTGGGTGGGGGACGATGGAGGGAAGACATCAAGCAGGGAGGAGGAGAAAAAGGTAACGCAGAGAAAGGCAGGACCCTGGCAGCAATTGCACTGCAATTGCTTTAGGTGTTTCTAGAAATCCAGCATTCTTCTTCCCCAGGCAGCACCTACCAGGGAAAGCAGAAGTCTGCAAGCCCCAGTGACTGGCCCTCTCCTGGTCTGGAAAGAGGAACAGAGGGAGGCCAGTAGGGCTGGGTGGTCTCACGATCACAAGAACACATTTCCCAGGTATCTGGGCAGTGATGGGATTGTCAGTCTGGAAGTCACCTCGAAGGAGAAATGACCATGTGCCTCAGACAGAACAGACCCCAGGCCCTGGGGTGAAGCATGATCACCCATGAGCTCAGGGTCCCTGGTTGTGGAGTCCAGGGCCACTGGGTGGCAGGGCCAGGAGGAGCAGCTGGGTCTGCACAGGGTGACACCATGCAGTGGTGGTGACGCTGAGCAGGGCCTGGTGAGTACTTGCTGGGTGATGGCTGCGTGCTGGCACGGCACTGGCATGTCACACTCCTCATTGCTTTTTAGTTTTGAGAGACGTGCGGTGAGGTGACCTGCCCGGTAGAGGGAGGCTAATCTTATCTGACATCTGACATAGGCCTGTCCTGTCTCGAGTTGGTTCCCAGCCCGTGTATTGGGCTCACCTGGAGGCTTTAAAAACATACTGAGGCTTAGGCTTCACGCCCCGAGCTTCTGATTCAAGAGTATGTTTTTGCCTTCTTGTTCTCTCTCCCAAAGTGTCCATATCTGCGCTCAGAGCTCAAAGAAATTTACTGAAAAAAATAAAATTAAGTAACGACAGCTCGAAGAGCCAGCAATTTATGCAAATGAATGCAAATAAACACACACTTCCATACATATGTTTATGCAAATATTCTTGTGGTCCTTGCAAATTGCTCACCCGCCTGCAAGCAGCCACCTACGGATTCTTGGTGAGAACCCTGGGCACAGTGCCTGGGTTAATGACAGGTGGCATCATGACCTCCCTGAACAGACATCTCCATTAGCAAACTCACCCCAGAGTCCCCCAGGGAACCTCACTGAGCCTGGCTCTGCCCACAACAGCCCCCTCCCCTACTCACTCAGGACTCAGGGCTCCCTCAAGGCCACTGGCCAGGGGGGCATTGGGAGCAACTGCCCAGTAGGCACTCCAAGGGCTGAGCAGGGCGGGGGGGGGGGGCGGCTGGCAACGTCCAGGTGCCTGAGAGCTGCTGGGAGGATAGCTGTGACCACCAAGGACTGGGCTGCCTTTACCCCTGTGCCAGTCTGGGTGGGCCAGCCTGTGGCTGAGCACTTGACTTCGGGTGCCCACATGTGCTGTCTGCCTGACTACACCTTCTGGCTCACTTTCCTAAAGCAGGAGGCACTGAACTTCAGAAGTAAACTTGCTCAGTCACGATCAGAGGTGAGTACCCTATGCCCATTTCCTCAATGGATGCTCCCTGCGCACCCAGCTCTAATTCGCAGCCCTTTCTGCTGGGCTTTGTGGAACAGTCATGGCCTCCATAACTTCAAGGCACCCTTGCTTTCTTGCTTCCAGGATAAGCAACTTCTGCAACCTGCTGGCTTTTGGCCTTGCTCCCCGAGAAAGACTGAGAGGAACTGCTCCCTCCCCGCAGGCTCACTGCACACTGGGGTGTCCTTCCGAAGCCAAAGCTGGACACACTTCCCTAGCTGCTGCCTGGGGTGGAGGGAGCTTGGCAAGGGGTTGGGATGTGGCTCTGAAGATCCACCTGACACCTGTGCCCTGGTTTTGGGGATCCTAGCTCAGCCTGTCTTAGGCAGCCTTGAAAAGACACATACAGCTTGCTATTTCTCCACGTGCTGCATCTGGGATGTGGATGCCATAATCATTTGGGAGGCTCTGGGGAGCTGGAATGTGAGCCCTGTGAGGGCAGGGAGTTTGGTTTGTTGCGCAGGGTAGGTGCTCAGTACATTTTGTTGACTGATGCATAGAATGAGTGTCTCCTCCACACACCTATGCCTCAATATTCTCACCAGTTGTCCTTGTGACTTCATGCACAACTTTGGATGAGGTGTGGGACTCTCTCCATCATGATACTCGCCTCCAACGGGGCAAGACAGACAGTGCACTTTTATAGGGCAATTTTATTCTTTAATTATCTCAGGCTGGCCCTCCATCTCCTCAGCTGTTCTGGGCTGTTTGGGAGATTCCCTGTTGCTCCCGTCACTCTGTGGTTGTGGGAAAAGGGACAAAGGAGATAAATGTAACTCTTCTGGAGGGGAAGGGGCGTGATTGGCCCTGGAGCCTCCCAGCTGGCTGGTGGTGGGCTCTGCCAATGACTCTGGGGTCTGTCCCACGGCAGGCTGCTGTCCTGAGGGACCAGCCCTCACCCACGTGCTAGCCCTGGGCCAGGCCAGCGCTGGGCACAGTGAGTGCTGCCCTCCCCTTTGTGGAAAACTGGCTGGAAGGGGAGAGGTGCAGGGAGGGCCCACTGGATAGATTTTTATGGTCAATCGGACTCATCAAACTGATGATAAACAAACCTAGGACTGTTAGGAAACATCTATCCCCATCGCCTGGCGCTGGGCAAACGTGTTCTGTGGGGTGATCTTGCTCAGGGCCCAAGGACCCAGGGTGGGTCACCCAGGGTCTAGAGTTGACAGCCCAGGCCAGTCCAAAGCCCAGAACCCAGAGACAGGAACAAACTCAGAATTTTTATATCTACAGCTCAGAGCTTAAAATTTAGAACCCAGTGCCTCAGCCAGAGACCAGTGTTTGACATAGTTCAACCAGAAGCTAAAGTCGACGGAAAATCCTGGCGCCAAAATATATGGACAGAGTCCCGAGAACCCTCCCAGCCCCCAGTGTGCTGGAAAGTTCCCTCTGCTGCCTTGCGCCCTCTGATTGGCACCTGACAGTGTGCAGCGTATTAATTATGGTCAGAGCTTTTCAACATGCAATAAAAAGCCTTTTAAAATGTTCCGATGGGAGGTGATTAACTCTATTAAGTGGCGTTATGGATCTTCCTATCTGTTGCTTTCATAAACCTAGTTGTAGGCGCAATGTTTTATTATGGGCATAAAAATGTCTCGCATTACAACGCATAAGCGCATATTGATGTTATATTTCTTTACTGTGCTACGCGCCCCGGTCCCCAACCACTCGGAAAAGAAACTACACGTCTTAATAATTTATGTTACAAGTTTTAACCAGGATTATCAATGGCAGCTTTTGAGCTTTCTCTTTTGGCAACACAATAGATCATAGTAAAAATGCACCGACAAGCGATGTGTCCGTTTGATTTTTTCCACCTGAATCAGCAGCCCAAAATCCAGACACAGCAGTTTGGGGCAACCGGCACACTGAAGAATTTAAGTCTAAGCATTTAATCTGTTCTTTCCATAAATTTCTGCTGCTTGTGCTTTATAATGATTCTACCAGAGGAAGTTTATTTATATCGCAGATTTTCAGCATCAGCACATTGAGAACAGAACGGCAATCGCTCAGTCAATAGCTTACAGCCATGTATAATATCACTCCGGAAATCAAAAGCCCATTTGGAGAAAAGAAGGCTCAGATTAAAGTCACTTTAAGACATCAATAACTTGGAACTGGCTGAAGAGAAGTTATAAATATCCAGGGCGCACATATGCAAATAGGCGCTCGAAGACGCGCCACCTCCGCGCGCCGGGAACCTCCCGGTGGGCCCCTCTCCGGCGCACGTGACGGCGGGGCCGCGGGGCGGGGCGGCCGGAGTGGAGTGGTCACCACCTCTTTTTCCTGCCCAGCACAGGGAACCCCGCCCCAGCCCGCGGGGACCCGAGGGGTCTAGCGCTAGGGCGCAAGGCAGGAGAAGAGGGGACCCCTTCCCGGAAACCCCAGTAAACTCAAAATAACAAGCACTCTTCCGAGTTGCTTGCTATTGGGCCAAAGGGGTGCTTTAATGACACCCGCCTTGTGCCTGCGACCATCTGTTTGACTCTGTAGCATTCCTCCTTAGCTAGGGGGTTTGGGGTTTGGGAGTGGCGTGGAGCAAGCTGGGGTGGGGGAAGCCCAGCATTCTGAAACTCCTCCTCCCATCTGCCACCCTCTCTGAGACCGCTGATGAGATCCACTCTTGGAATCCTCAGGGCAGCTCTGACAGATTGCCCCCATTGTATGGGCGAGGAAAATGAGGCTCGGAGAGAGTCACTGGTCCCAGGCCACACAGCAGAGTGGCAGAGCTGAGATTTGAATCTCGCTCTGCTTAATTTAAAGCCCTGCATTCTTGGCTTTAAACCCACCACTGTGTTTCATTGCTTCCTGCTTACCCTTTCCCTGCAGTCAGGCTCAGGGCCCAGGAAGATTTAGGGGTCCCTTGGGAAGGTGAAACCCAAGTCCAAGGAGCACCACAGTCTGTAGGTGGTCCAGGCTGGAAAGAGGTGGCTTGGGAGGCAAGCTGGGTGGGACCCCTGGGAGGGGCAGAGGCTGGGTGGAGGATCTGGAAGAGGGGGCAGGGCAGGGCTCTGTCCTCAGGTGGTAAGGGGTCCTCTTGCCTTTGGGAAGGGAGGGAAGGCTGGAAGCACCCACCAGGAAGTGCTGGGACCTCAGGAGGGGCTGGTAAACTCAACCGCTAGAGATTAGAAACTGTAATCCTAGAAACTGTCAAGGCCTCCCATGGCCAAGAGCTTATCTTGGCCAAAGCCTGTACCATCTATTGATGGATCAAACGCCTCCAGGAGAAGGAAGAACACTTGATGACTGCTCAGGGCATGATGTGGCCTGCACAGAGTGAAGATCCATCAAAAAGCGAATTTCCTATGGTCAGTGGGTGATAGTAAGACATAAAGGTTGAACCCTACAAAAGTATCTGGACGAGTGAGTGTGAGAGGGCAGAAAATCTGAATTAAGTTTGTGTTAAGACCATCGAAGCTGATGACCAGAAGACACATTTTTTCAGGATGCCTTTTGCTGAAAGACTCCCTAAGAGCCTACAGAGTCCCCTCTGCACCCTTGCTGAAGCTGCCCCATCCTCTTGGCTTCAAGCCCCCCTGCTCTGGTACCTACAGCGCACCCGGAGCTTGTGATTCAGTACTGTGGGCAGCACTGATCCTTTCAGCTGGAGCCGTTCACTCACTCATACACTCAACAAGTGTTTACTGAGTGTCTATTACATCCAAGCACTGGATACAACAACTGGCTGTCCCCTGTTTACTGAGTGTCTATTACATGCCAAGCACTGGATACAACAACTGGCTGTCCCCTGTTTACTGAGTGTCTATTACATCCAAGCACTGGATACAACAACTGGCTGTCCCCTGTTTACTGAGTGTCTATTACATCCAAGCACTGGATACAACAACTGGCTGTCCCCTGTTTACTGAGTGTCTATTACATCCAAGCACTGGATACAACAACTGGCTGTCCCCTGTTTACTGAGTGTCTATTACATGCCAAGCACTGGATACAACAACTGGCTGTCCCCTTGGAGCACGGATTCTAGAGGATACCTGGTGACCTGCCCAAGGTCTCTGTCACAAGGGCAGGTGCAGTTTGGCTGGCTCAGGAGCGCAGGGCAGCCATGCAGACAGGTGGTGTTGAGCTTGCATTTGGGGGCAGCTGGTTCCAGAGCTCCCAGCAAATAGCTTTTCAGGGCCTCAAGCCTCAGCGACTCATCATCTCTCTTCCCTTCTTCCCAGCAGGCCTAGGGGTTTCATGGGTTTGGAGATCCTTCCCAGGAAAAGCACCAGTGGGGGCACCTCTACTCTGCCACGAGTAAGGCCATGTCCTTCCAGATAACTGACCTAGTCCCAGGAGCGGGATTACACACTCATGTTCCCTCTGCCATTGCCCATGCCTCAGACCCAGGTGCGGCTCGCCAGGGCAGGGGCGTGGCCCTGTGATGAACGCAGGGGAGGCCATGCCACATGTGCAGGTCCGGGGGCGGGGATACAGCTGATGTCTTGTTAGGAGTATGGGACCATCTGAGGTTGGGCTTCTCTCCTTTTAAAACTTTTTTAATATTTATTTTTTAGAGACAGGTTCTTGTTCTGTCACCTAGACTGGAGTGCAGTGGTTCGATCATAGCTCACTGTAACCTCAAACTCCTGGGCTCAAGCAATACTGCCACTTCAGCTTCCCAAGTAGCTGGGACTACAGGTACGTGCCACCATACCCAGCTAAATGGTTAAAGTTTTTGTAGACATGTGGTCTTGCTATGTTGCCCAGACTGGTCTCAAACTCCTGGCCTCAAGTGATCCTCCTGCCTTAGCCCCCCAAAGTGCTGGGATAACAGGTGTGAGCCAACATGCCTTGCTTCTCCCCCCTTTTTTTTTTTGTTTTCTGAGACAGAGTTTTACTCTCCTGGCCCAAGCTGGAGTGCAGTGGTGCGACCTTGGCTCACTGCAACCTCCACCTCCCGAGTTCAAGTGATTCTCCTACCTCAGCCTCCCGAGTAGCTGAGATTACAGGCGCCTGCCACCAAACCTGGCTAATTTTTTTCATATTTTTAGCAGAGATGGGGTTTCACCACGTTGGCCAGGCTGATCCTGAACTCCTGACCTCAGGTGATCTACCCATCTCAGCCTCCCAAAGTGCTGGGATTAAAGACATGAGCCACTGTGCCTGGCGGCTTCTCTCCTTACTGACCTGGGAAGAGACTGGGGACCCCCTAGCTTTCATGTGGGCTCCAACTGCCACCTGCCACAGCGGAGGGGCTGGACTCCCAGAAGGCTGGGGCCTGATGAGTTGGGGGCCTGATGAGTTGGGGGTTGTGGGGACAGTTACCTGTGCCCCTCGTCCCTTTTTGGCTGTGAGAACCAGCTCTTGTTGGGACAGAATGTTCCCCTTCCTGGAATTCTCCTACCTCCCCAGGCCTCTGGTGCGGCTCGAACACCTGTTTTCAGAAGCTCCTCATGTGGGAGCTCTGGTTTCCGTTTGGCAGCTGCAGGGGATCCAGGGGTGGTGGCTGGGAACCCTGATGAGTCCACACCTGACTTTTCCAGAGAGGACAAGCTGCCTTGGCTTGGGTGGGAGCACCTGTGTAAGTCAGAAGACACGGGCTGAGGGGGAGGGGGCTGGGGTAACCTGAGCCTCCTTGGGTAAAACTGGATGTGACATCAGCACAGTCTTTCAGTTGCCAAGGCAAGGGTCTTTCAGTTGGCAAGGCAGAGACCTGCCTGGTCTCTGGCCCAGGCCCTGTGCCAAGATCCCCCAAGACAGGTCACAGAGAAGAGACCTGTCTACCCTAGGCTGGCACTTGGGCCTGGGGGCTTCTGCATGCTGTGGGGGTGTGGGGAAGTTTTTTGGAGGAGGAACAGGCTAAAGGCAGGTCTAGATAGGGGCAGTATGGGAAACACTGAAAGCGGTGCAGTGCTGCGGTGCACAGGTGGCCTGAGCAACAGGCGAGGGGCTTAGTGAGAAAGGAGGACCCCTGAAGGGCTCCGAGCAGGGGAGGGCCTGGCCAGGTGGTGCGTTAGGAAGATTGCTCAGACCAACGAGGCTGGAGGAAGTGAGGAGTCAGCATTCCACCCAGGGAGCCCTCAGTGGTGGGAGGGAGAACGGAGGCACAGAGGCTGGCCAGGCCAGGATGAGGGCCTGGCTGCGGGAGGCTGGCCAAGTGGGTTGCGTCTACAAGACTGTGGGGAGGAAGCCTGGTGGGCTGGATGATCTTGTGGAGGCTCAGGGTTCTCCAGCACTGGGCACAGTTGGGTGCGGGTGAGGGCACCTCCTCTGATCTGGGACCAGCTGCTCGCTTTCCAAATGGAGAAACAGACTCAGTGGTGGAGGAAGCTAGAGCTGAACTGGCCTGAAGCCAGACTCTCTGTGTGCTCACATAGGACACGAACCTGCCAAGCACCCACACGGCCAGACCCAGGACTCGGTGCTGAGGATGGAACAGTGAATATGGGGCTGAGGACCTTGCTGTCACTCCGCTGCCTGGTGTCCACCAACTGACTCAGTGGGTAAACATTGGAACGTTACTTCATGTTTCTGAACCGAGGTTTCCTCCACTGTAAATGGAGGTCATGAACGTACCCACTTCCGAGCTGTGAGAGTTAAATGGGCCAACACATGGAACATGCTGTAAGAAGAGCGTCTGGAAGGTAATCAGCTCAGTAAGTCCCCCGGCGCCACCGCTTACGGGTTGCTCAAGTTGCAAACTGCACGTCTCTGGGGGGGGTGCCACTCAGCTCAGGCACAGTCTAGGTTTCCTTCGTTACGAGGACAATTTTCTGGTAGGTGGCAGGCAAGGGTCCTAGAAAAGGGTACCTTTTTACATTTCATACAAAGTTGCT